ATTTTCTTAATGAAATAACTTTTATTTTTTAGTTTTTTATTAGAGACTAAGGGAGTGTTTGGGTTGCTGGAAAATATTTTAGAAATAAAAATACTTACTAATAAAAAATAATTTTAAAATATTTTTAATCCCTAAACATGAGAAAATTTTACATTTAAAAAAAATACAATTTGATAAATATTATAAATTAATTATTGCAATATCATTTATGTTTACAACGAGAATAATTAAAGAAAAAATAAATAAATCAAATATGTGAACCAATGATTTCAAAATGAAATTAATATAACATGATTAGATAAAGTGACTAATGCCCATCTTTTGGGTGAAAGGGCTGGAGATTTAAAGTTGCTCAATTCCCAAAGGCAATGATCAAATCCTTGTCTTTGGTTAATAAGGATGGATGCATCCCTTCCACTTAACCACACCCTCCAAGTTCTTAGTGAAATGACTTTAATAAAAGTAAAATCCTCCTTTACAACATCCCAACCCAAATTAATATGAATATTAATTAATTAGTAAAAAATAATAAAGCTTAATTGGTAACAAAATTTTATATGAAAATTAACTAATATCTAATGAATTGTTACCACAGATTAAAGTCAATATGTATATAAAAATGAAAAATGGTTACCAAATTATGAGAATAATTAAATTATTATAATTATAAAAATAATGGATACAAATTCTACCTAACAAATGAGAAAATTCGTTTGAAATTCTGCGTAATTTTATATACAAATAATAATTTATTAATTATTATTTACACCAATTTATACTATTAATAAAAGTAAAATTATCATCTTCAACATTCCCGCCCAAATGAATATGAATATTAATTAATTGGTAAAAAAAATTTAATAAAGCTTAATTGGTAACAAAATTTTATATGAAAATTAACTAATATCTAATGAATTTTTATCACACATTGAAGTCAATGTGTACTTAAAAATGGATGATGGTTATCAAATGCTGAGAATAATTAAACCATTATAATTGTGAGAATAATGGAAACAAATTCTGCGTAATAAATGAGAAAATTCATTTGAAATTATATGTAATTTTATAAGAAAATAATAATTTATTAATTATTATTTACACCAATCTATATTTATACTATTAATAAAAGTAAAATCTTCAATTAAAATGTCTTTCGCCCTTCTGATACGAGATTGTCATTCAAGTTCTGACGAAAACAATTCACGTTGATGCTCGCATATGCCATGACTATCAACAAAAGTCAGGGTCAAACACTAACTCACGTTGAGTTATTACTAAAACAACTCGTCTTTAATCACAGTTTATTGTATGTGAATTTTTCCCGAGTCATCCATCCTGATGGTCTGATGGTTTTAACTCTAGACGAGAATGGATAAAATTCCGTTACTACTACCAATGTTGTCTACAAAGAGATTTTCAATAATGTATAATTCAAGTTATTGATATTATGGTTTTTTATATACAAAGATGACAAAATTGCTATATATCTACATAGAAAATATATCTTTCATATAAATAATTTCTATAACTGAGTTGCTAGACAACGAGCTAATTAGTCCAATTAATACAAATTATAAACACTGATATATAAAATCTCTAAAGTTGCAACACCGAATGCGTATATCTACACGTTAACTATTAATTGGGCAATTATTTACTCGAATTCAAGTATTGATAACATCAGAAAACATAATCGGTGCAACTCAATTCTTCAATTATATTTTATAATATTCGATGTTATAATTTATACAATTGTATATCGATCTAAATATTTTTAAAATATTATAACAAATTCATTCCGTGCAACGCACGGGCGCAAATACTAGTTATAAAAATAATGGATACAAATTCTACCTAACAAATGAGAAAATTCGTTTGAAATTCTGCATAATTTTATAAACAAATAATAATTTATTAATTATTATTTACACCAATTTATACTATTAATAAAAGTAAAATTATCATCTTCAACATTCCCGCCCAAATGAATATGAATATTAATTAATTGGTAAAAAAAAATTAATAAAACTTAATTGGTAACAAAATTTTATATGAAAATTAATTAATATCTAATGAATTTTTATCACACATTGAAGTCAATGTGTACTTAAAAATGGATGATGGTTATCAAATGCTGAGAATAATTAAACCATTATAATTGTGAGAATAATGGAAACAAATTCTGCGTAATAAATGAGAAAATTCATTTGAAATTATATGTAATTTTATAAGAAAATAATAATTTATTAATTATTATTTACACCAATCTATATTTATACTATTAATAAAAGTAAAATCTTCAATTAAAATGTCTTTCGCCCTTCTGATACGAGATTGCCATTCAAGTTCTAACGAAAACAATTCACGTTGATGCTCGCATATGCCATGACTATCAACAAAAGTCAGGGTCAAACACTAACTCACGTTGAGTTATTACTAAAACAACTCGTCTTTAATCACAGTTTATTGTATGTGAATTTTTCCCGAGTCATCCATCCTGATGGTCTGATGGTTTTAACTCTAGACGAGGATGGATAAAATTTCGTTACTACTACCAATGTTGTCTACAAAGAGATTTTTAATAATGTATAATTCAAGTTATTGATATTATGGTTTTTTATATACAAAGATGACAAAATTGCTATATATCTACATAGAAAATATATCTTCCGTATAAATAATTTCTATAACTGAGTTGCTAGACAACGAGCTAATTAGTCCAATTAATACAAATTATAAACACTGATATATAAAATCTCTAAAGTTGCAACACCGAATGCGTATATCTACACGTTAACTATTAATTGGGCAATTATTTACTCGAATTCAAGTATTAATAACATCAGAAAACATAATCGGTGCAACTCAATTCTTCAATTATATTTTATAATATTCGATGTTATAATTTATACAATTGTATATCGATCTAAATATTTTTAAAATATTATAACAAATTCATTCCGTGCAACGCACGGGCGCAAATACTAGTTATAAAAATAATGGATACAAATTCTACCTAACAAATGAGAAAATTCGTTTGAAATTCTGCATAATTTTATAAACAAATAATAATTTATTAATTATTATTTACACCAATTTATACTATTAATAAAAGTAAAATTATCATCTTCAACATTCCCGCCCAAATGAATATGAATATTAATTAATTGGTAAAAAAAAATTAATAAAACTTAATTGGTAACAAAATTTTATATGAAAATTAATTAATATCTAATGAATTTTTATCACACATTGAAGTCAATGTGTACTTAAAAATGGATGATGGTTATCAAATGCTGAGAATAATTAAACCATTATAATTGTGAGAATAATGGAAACAAATTCTGCGTAATAAATGAGAAAATTCATTTGAAATTATATGTAATTTTATAAGAAAATAATAATTTATTAATTATTATTTACACCAATCTATATTTATACTATTAATAAAAGTAAAATCTTCAATTAAAATGTCTTTCGCCCTTCTGATACGAGATTGCCATTCAAGTTCTAACGAAAACAATTCACGTTGATGCTCGCATATGCCATGACTATCAACAAAAGTCAGGGTCAAACACTAACTCACGTTGAGTTATTACTAAAACAACTCGTCTTTAATCACAGTTTATTGTATGTGAATTTTTCCCGAGTCATCCATCCTGATGGTCTGATGGTTTTAACTCTAGACGAGGATGGATAAAATTTCGTTACTACTACCAATGTTGTCTACAAAGAGATTTTTAATAATGTATAATTCAAGTTATTGATATTATGGTTTTTTATATACAAAGATGACAAAATTGCTATATATCTACATAGAAAATATATCTTCCGTATAAATAATTTCTATAACTGAGTTGCTAGACAACGAGCTAATTAGTCCAATTAATACAAATTATAAACACTGATATATAAAATCTCTAAAGTTGCAACACCGAATGCGTATATCTACACGTTAACTATTAATTGGGCAATTATTTACTCGAATTCAAGTATTAATAACATCAGAAAACATAATCGGTGCAACTCAATTCTTCAATTATATTTTATAATATTCGATGTTATAATTTATACAATTGTATATCGATCTAAATATTTTTAAAATATTATAACAAATTCATTCCGTGCAACGCACGGGCGCAAATACTAGTGTATATAACATAATAATACAGAAGATATGTAGGTAGGTAATGCTGAATTAATATAACCACCTGGCACAATGGAAGAATCCCAGTCAACATATTTCACAGTGTACTTTAGGTAGAGACTTCTTTTGGTACCATTATTATATCCTTCTTTTAACTTGCATTTCATCTTGTCACCGCAACAAAACAAGCCTCCAATATAACCTCAATCTTTAATAAACTTTTGCTCATCCATTGTGAGATTATACAGGTCACACCTGCATTCAGTGCATCCAATCCTATCTTCCGCACCCCGCGTATCTATTATATGCACGTTAAGTGTCCATCCCTCCTCATAACCTTTGGACACATCTGTTGGGTTCAAAACACAAAAAATGAATACTCAGAAAATAAACATTTGAGGTACTAAAAAGAACTTTTAGTATACTAATAATGAAAGTGCACCTTGTAAGGTGGACCATGGTTGACCGTGACAATTTATATCATGAACCATGGTCCACCTTACATCGTGAACTTTGTCCAAAATGATATTTAGATTATGTATCTGCAATTATCATGTTATATACTTTCAATTAACAAATTCTATACGTATAAATAAATTGAATGTACATAATATGTTAACTAGAGCAATATAATAGTTTAATTGTAGTAGATTTAGTATATTTAATAGGTACATAATTTATCATTACATGTACAAAATCTGTTAACGATATATAATATATTAAGTGATACATAATTTAAATGTCATTTTGGACAAAATCCATAATACAAAGTAGACCATTATCCATGATATATAGCATGTTGAATTACAAAAGGTAGGTAAGTAGATTGGTAGTGCTGAATTAATATAATCACCTGGCACGGGTGCAATTTCATAAACCCTTTGGAATCATCAGACATTTTCCAAGGATCAGTCGCATCAAGTAAATAAATTATGAAAGGCACAATAGAAGAATCCCAGTCAACATATTTCACAGTGTACTTTAGATAGAGACTTCTTTTGGTACCATTTTTATATCCTTCTTTTAACTTGCATCTCATCTCGTCAAAGCAACAAAAAAAAGCCTCCAATATAACTTTTGCTCATCTTGTCACACCTGCACTCAGTGATTCATATTATGGTCTTGCACTTCTTCTTCCTCTTCATCTTCCACTCTACAAAAATAGAAATATACCCAAGAATAAAATAATCAATTGAATCATAAGGCTCAAAATACGTACAGGATGCAAAATCATATCCACAATTTATATTAGAAAATATGTATTACCTTCGACAATCAAAGTCCTCCACAATAAGTTTATCATCTCCGTAGTCTAGCCACTCTTCTTGAATCTGTTTAGCAGAATTAAGAAGGGAACGTCGACACTTGTTTAACATAATTAACCGCAAAAAGGGAATATCAACAAAACTAGCTGGAAATTCCTCCAAATCCCAACACGATGTCAAATTTAGGCATTCAAGAACGGGAAAATGAGCACTATTCCAATCCTTGAGACATGACCTTTGAATTTGCAAGTACTTTAACCTGCAAAATTCATTCTCCCTTGTGTTCCACTCTTGGCCACTGAAATCATTGTTCATCAATTTTAGAATCTCAAGGTTGGGCAATGTGCCAATAATGGCCATATCCTCCGGTGAAAGATAAGTTCCATAAAGTGACAACTTTTTGAGGTTTTCTGGCAAAGCTATCCGTTGAAGCCGAAAGTAATCATTTTCAATTCTTTTACATGATGCTTTAATTTTCATGTTCTCCAACTTATGCAAATTGGCAAGACCATCAAGTGAAATAGGCCGTAGTAGCTCTGAAACATAGTTGTAGTCAATGTAAAACCCAAGTTCCTTCACGTTCGGAATTTTTTCAAAGTCTAAACCTTGATGGGATAGATGCAACCAAAATAAAGCTTGTAGATTTCCCTGGACCAATGTTGGGAGATTGAGGAAGCAACCATTAATAGAAACATGCCTTAGTCGTGGCATACCCAAAATATTAAATTTTGGCTTCCGTCTTCCCCATCCATAGGGGCGGACATTAAGAACAATCAAGGTTTGCAAATTTTGAAGCTTGAACCATTCTAAATCTGGAAAGAACTCAAAGGTTCTTAAGGCTAAGTATCTCAAATTAAGAAGATTCCATATTTCACTTGGTATGTGGTGCTCACTAATTATTATTGAAGATATGTCCAACACCCTTAGAACCTCAAAACAGGGAAATGGATTGGAGGAAATATTTTTCATTCCAAAATATAGAATGGAACGAAACTCCAGGGGTGCGCCAGTCTCATCATACCTTTCTCTAGTAATTGCCAAACCCAAATGTGTTAACTGACTGCTAACCCAATAGCAAGCTTTTGGAACGGAGCCTATTGATATGCTTCTCTTTATTCTCATGAGAATGCGTTTAAGTCTACCCATCGGAACACTATTCTTATTTACAACACACAAAAGCTTCTCCCTCTGAGCTTCTCTCAAGCAATAGTTATGCAACACATCATGAACCCTACAATACTTCATTTTAATGCCAAAACTCCCCTTATCAATTTGAACTAGACCTCTGTCTACAAGATCCTGTAAGTAAGCCTCACTCACTTCTTCCATGGTGTCATTCAACTCAAGCTTTAAAAATCCCTCTGCAACCCATAGCCTAATCAATTTTTTCACACGAATTTTACTATCTTCTGGAAAAACACCAAAATATAAAAAACAAACTTTCAAATGCGGAGGTAAGTGGTTGTAACTTAATGAAAGTATTTTTGAACATTTTTCTTCGGGATCTGTGTTAAGCAATGAACTCAGATTTTCAGCAATATTCCTCCATTGGTTTAGTGATGGCTGGTTGAAGGAGGTGAAGAGCCCAGCAACCACGGTAATTGTTAGAGGTAATCCTTGACATTTTTCAACAATACCTCTACCAATTGTCTCAAATTCAAGCGGGACTTTTTTTTCCTCAAATACTTTCTTGTAAAATAAATTCCAACTTTCATTGAAATTTAAGAATCGCATGTAATGAGAATTGTTACCTGAACTAGCATAGTCAGCCACTTGTTTGAGCCGTGTAGTTATCAATATTCGACTCCCATTGAAACTTTCAGGAAAACACCTATGGAGGTCATCCCATGCCTTGGTACCCCATATATCGTCCATAACAATTAGGTATCTTTGACCCATTAACTTTTTACGCAGCTGATTGGGTAGATCAGAGATATCTCCTCCTTTGGTGTCAAGAAGGCTAAGGAGAATTTCTCTAGTGTTATGTTCTTGAGATACAGTAGCCCATGCTCGAACATCAAAATAAGAAATAATTGACGCATCTTCATAGACTCTTTTAACCAAAGTTGTCTTTCCGATCCCTCCCATTCCCACAATTGAGATGACTTCCAATTTTTCTGAAAGTGAAGTGAGCTTGTGCATTATGGTGTCAAACTCATCGTCACATCCTACCATCACATCCTTGGGCTCAGAAGAACGTTGGGAGGAACTACCAGCTTTGATATTCTCTATTCTGTTTCCACTTTGTGGCTCTGCAAAATGGTTGTTATTGCTCTTAATCTCAATAATCCTCCGTTCAATTGATTCAATCTTTTGTTTTACTTGTTCCAAGGTGTGGTAAAGACTCTGAGGAGGCTTAAGTGGGTGATCTTCCTGGTTGCAGCACAGATAAAGTTGATATAATTGGGATTCAATATTGGCTTCAGCATCTTGAGCCACACATCTGATCTCTGACTCCAAAACACTCCTTGCCTTGATCTTCTCAGAACCCTCTAAAAAGGCTTGCAAATATCGAATCTTCTCACACACAGATTTGATGGCTTCTGTATCGTCAAAAATCAAACATGGATGGGGCTGCAGAAAATGGAAGTGTAACGTATTTAGTAGAGAAGTGATATGAGCGAAAGTAGCCATTGAAGATAAAGTTAAGTAGAGAAAAATGGGTTCAGAATCTGAAAGAGATGAAGCAATGGAATGGATCTGATTATCGATCTTTCATCAATAGAATTCTTTAAACCATCATGTAAGTCAACTCAACCGACAGCCGGCCTGGACAGGTTCGTGGTCGGTAACTATGAAAACTTGAACTATGATAAAATATGCTACGGCTGAGCCGGCCTGGAATTCACCAATATATAATATGGTCATATTATCAAAGTACTGACCTGGCCTAGATTAGTCTTGTTGGTGACATTATTTAATTTGACTAATTTTTATTACTATATAATAAGTGGTATGGACTATGGAGGTAGGAAATTGCATTGCTATTTTCGCTCAAAAATTTTGCCTAATATTTTTCTCTCATATTTATAATTATTATATTAGGTGTCATGAACTGGTTAACCAATTTGCTTTTAAGTGGAATGTGTAGCATACATACTCATGAAATAAATATGGAGTCATAGTTGCTTCTTATAGTTGAAATTTATTTGCCATGTTAAGAAAAGATGATTAATATATATATACCTAGTCATTCATTTAATCATATATTTTATGTCAAAACATTTCATTTCGAGCATTAAAATAAACCCATTTCGATTTCTCAATCTCATCCCCAGAATGGGCTTTACCGTTTCCTTCCTCTTTTTTTTTTTTTTTTTTTTTTTTTTTTTTTTTTTTTTTTTTTTAGTTATTTGATTTTCTTCTTTCCTGTTGAATTGGATTTCAACTTTCCATTTACTCTTTTACTAATTTTTATTATATTGGTACAAGTCTCTGATTATGTCTTTTCCTTTTCTACAGTGTTTCGACTTTTTTTCTTTTACATCTCTAGTCGAACCATACTATATATATATATATATATATATATATATATATATATATATATATATATATATATTGCCTCATTCAACTCTAATTTTCTCTCAGAAAATGTAAATAGAAATAGAAAAAATATAAAGATTGTCAATTGCAAGAAATATAACCATGCAACTTAGGATTCAATTTTTAATCATCAAAACACAATTTTTTTTTTCAAAAACTGCAAATTAAACCTCCGTAAACTAACTGCAAAAAACCTCTCTGCATCTCTGCCCTCCCAAACCTGGCATCTCGCCGTTCCTTTGTAGTGTGGCCGTCGGCCTCTGGCCGACTCTGTCCTTGGCCGGCGATCTCATACTTCCGTAGTTCCTTTATATTTTGTTTTTTAGTTTCACAACTTCCACCATCAGATCTAATCAAGAAGCCCCTCACCATTGTCAACACTGATTTTTCAACAAAAAGGGAAAATAAGGCTTTGTGTCAGTGTTCTTTTCTTGAATCTCGGTAAGGAAGACTTTGAGTTCTGAAAAAGGACAATAAGTTTTGTGCTTTGATCAAGGACAAAAGGCGTGGTGTTTTCTTGACAGAAGAAGGCGTGGAGTTATGTTTTTCTCTAAAGATCTGTGTTTTTCACTTTTTTCATAAGTTATTTTGACAAGTTATTTCCTCACTTCTTTGGGGAGTTATTCCCTCTCGTTTCTTTGGCGAGTTCTTTTTTCATTAAGGTGAAACGATTTAATTGATCATGGCGTATGTTTATCTCATCTTGAGCAACGAAGAAGATCTGAACCATGATATGCAGTTCAGATTAATGAAGATATTGTCTATGCACAGAAGAGCTGCAATAGTTACGTACTCAGGTGGTATGCAAGACTTCTCAAATAGAGTCAGTCTTGGATAGCCAGATCATTAACAACATCAAAGAAGTTTCAGGTTCCTCTAATGAATTCAGCTTCAATCTTGTAACACAGTTTGCGATTCAAGTTTCTTTTAGGATTGCTAGGAAAATTGTTTCTATGTCTCACTTCTATTAATCTTTATTGTAACTATTTCAACTTATGATTAATGAATTAGCTCTTTATTTTCAGAAAATAAAAATAAAAAATAACCATGCAACTTAGTAAATGAATTTTCATGCATTCTATCTATAAATTGTATTCAAAAAAAAAAAAAAAAAAAAAAAAAAAAAACCTCTAGCAAATTGGTTCTCAAGGATTTGATTATTGTCAACCCATATGAAATAAATAAGTTTAAACAAACTAAAAGAGTAGGAAAACACTAATTAACAAACTGATGATAAGAAATCCAAATCCTAATAAAATTCAATTTGGAAGGTATTTTTGTGAAAAAAATAAAATAAAATAAAACTATTGCCGCAGAGTAATTAAAAGAAGTCGAAGAAACAGTTTAAAAGAATCATTCATCGAATAAAAATTAAGGGAGGTGTATTCAATCATGACTTTTATAGAGTTTTAAAGACTTTTATAAACTTTAAAAGTTTGGAGGTATTCAATTTAAATTTTTAAAAAGTCTTTAAAAGTCAGGCAGTATTCAATCAAGATTTTTAAAGAGTCTTTAAAAGTCATGTGGTATTCGATTAAGACTTTTAAAGAGTCTTTAAAAGTCATGTGGTATTCAAAAAGTTATGAACTTTTGTAGACTTTTTAATTTTAGGACTTTCGTAGACTTTTTGTTCTCAAATATAAATAGTTGAAATCCAACCATCAACCCCAAGATTTCAAAATTTTCTTTCTACCAACTTTGAATAATGTTTTTTCTCTCTATTTAAACTCTATTTTTTCTCCATATTTAAACTTTATAAACCTTATCTAAATTTAATAAAATTATTTTTTTCTTCATTATCCTATATTTTCCTCATATCTAAACTCTACCAATTTTTTCTCTCTCTCCTAAACTTTACAATATTTCTCTAAAAATTCGAAATAATATTATTTTTACTTCATTATTGCTTCATTATATTGATTTTTATTTTTTCTATGAATTTTTATCCCTAACTTTGTCTAATTTTCGCTAAATACATGAACAACGTAAATTTTTCATCGTCAAATTTTAATATATATTTCATAATATTCATATAAATACTTATGTATTTTAATTTTTATTCTTTTTATGCTTATATTCGTAATATATATTTTTTCCAAACATTATTTCAAAAGTTAAGAAACAAACAAGCATGTGCACATGAGTTGATCCATATATAATACATGTACAAACCCAACATAAATCTGACTTAATTAAAATGAGATGCAAATTACGAAAAAATACTAATATTACAAACCTGACATTTTAAAAATTAAAAGACATATACGTGTACAAACACAACATAAATATGACTTAAAACTTAAAATTAAAGGAGATACAAATTAAAGGACGATAAAAACATGTAAACCAGAGCATGAAACGGCCGCCTCAAACAACTATAGGTTCGTAGCTATTGTTCCAATTTGCAATTCCACACGGTGCAAATAAAGGGGATTTAATTTATTGGGATCATGGCATCACCTGGCAAAATCAATCCAAATGTTGTTTATCTCTTCATAAATCATAAACAAATATATATGCATACACAACTTCACACAACCTTTTATTATTAAATTTTCATATTAACGTCGTAGATATATAGCATGTGAAGTTGTAAAATATTGTTACCTAGTTTTGAGCATGCATGATAGAATTGGATATTTTTTAATGCTACTAACTTTTCCACTTTTTATAGTGATTTTTTGTTCAAACATACTTTCTCAACCTAATAAAGTACAAAAAATCAACAACACCTCTACTAAAGCTCGATCTCATGGCCTTCCACATGAAAGAGATCACTACATGACATCTGAGCACAAGGTGTTGAGCCTTTTTAATAGTGATTTGATTTACTTCTTTCCTGTTAATTAAGAGTTGAATTGGATTTCCACTTTCCATTTACTCTTTCACTAACTTTTATTGGTACAAGTTTCTATTTATGTCTCTTTCTTTTCTTGGGTGTTTCGACTTTTTTCTTTTACATTTCTAGCGGAACCATACATTACTTTGCCGTTTTCTTTTCCATCAACTACTTGTACATCCAATTCTATCTTTCTCAGAAAATATAAATAAAAACAGGAAAATATAAAGGTTGTCAATTGCAATAGAGTTAATTCCCAAAAGGGTCGTCCTCCGACTATGACATTTTCTCAAATTGGTTCCTTGACTTTTAATTGCACCCAAAGTGGTTCTCCGACTATTAAATTTTAAGTCAAAATGGTCATCCGTTAATTTTAGTGTTAAGTTGGTGTTAAAATGAAGGGTAAAACTGGTAATTCAGATTTTCACTCCAATTTAAAGCAGTTTGTCACCCCCTTTTCTTGTTCTTTGAGACCTGTATGTTACATTGGTGATATAAAATGTGGAGTAATCAAATTAGGATGTTTTTTTTCAAGGAGTTACCATTCAATATGTTATGTTTTTTTACAGGTTGCATTATTGTAATCAAAATATTTAATTATTTATTAGAAAAAGACAACAACACCAACATGACCAAGAATAACCGTAAATTCTCATAAACTGCATCTTAATATTTCAATGAATTTCACATCTTGCATCTTATTCTATCTCTCCTCAAACTCATTTAATGAGATGAAGGGGCAACTATTAATTGAGACAGGAAAAGTTGGAGAAAATATTCTCTATAAGTCCCTTTTCATCTTACAAAATTTAAAGATCCATAATTTAATCTAATGGATCTTGCAAATCAATGGCTACAAATGATTCTAAAAAATTTCTATTTCCTCGCGTACTTAAACTAATGAAAGTAATACAAAAACTACAGACACAATGTGTATTTGACAATTACGATCCATAAAATTTGAGAAAACCCCCAAAACATGGTTTCCAAAGAGTGCAGTGTAAGTATTTTCCCTAAATACAATAATTATAATATATTGTATTATTGGGTGGCTGTGGTGCAAGTAGGAGATTGAGTCAATTAGTGAACTCAGGACATTCAGTTAAGCTTTAACTGAATATCTGCCTATATTGATGGCATGTAGGCTTCTAAGCAAAATAGTCCTCCCACAGCTCCCGAGTTCAGGACACGTACCATCACGTATTCGGGAGAGAAGTGGTAGACAAAACACTAATGTCCATTCTGCAGGTTTACCATCCCAGAGACAATACCAACAACTATGGCTGGAGATATTCGGGCGATCCTAAAGCTT